TAAGTGTTTCATTTTTGCTGTTACATTTTGATACTTCAAACAGCTAACTAACTTTGTTAACTTAAATAAAATATCCTGTATTTTTCTACTCTGTCGAATACATATTGAAATTTCCTTTCAAACCATATAAGCATTGTTAGGGTTTTAGAGATATTTGCAAATTTCAATTTTTTGGGCCGTTTTTCGAGTATCAGAACTTATCAAATTGGCCATGACCAAAAACATTCCAAAAACAATTAACATAACTTAAGATTTGCAAGGTTAGTTATCAAATTATTGTTCTCTGCAATCGTTTTTGCCAAAAATTTAAATAAAAATATGTGGGGATCGTTCAAATTATACTGATAAATATTATTTTAATTTGTTTGTTATTTAAGGAAAATGTGACAAAGTAATTTCAAGAACATGTAGATAATTTGCTGCTTGATATCCAGAAAAACGAAGACCCGAAGAAAGCATATTTAAGTTAACGAAGTTATAGCTGTTTGAACTTATCAAAATATAACAACAAAATTGAAACATCTAGTATTAAGTGTTTTAATTTGTTACCATTATTTAGTGTTACCTATGTCTTTTACAGATGCCAAAAATTCACTTGATATCCCGCTCCTGAAATGAGTTACTAACATCTCCGCTGCTCTGGCAATTTTTTTATTAAAAAATTAATGTCTCAAAATCTATTACGCCTAGATATGGGGAATATTTGAGAGAATAACCCTCAAATTTCACGTAGAATCAGAAAATGCAATGGATGTCCCATTTAAAATAAGAAAGTTAATGTCGTCTTCCGGTATATCCAGAAGTGCCATAAAGCAGTAAATATTTTAGCTAAATTGGCCCTATTTCCTTTGCTAGATTTATCGGACTAGTACCTTCCGAGATATCGATAGTGGCGATTCCTGGTGGGACATTCTGTATTTTGTAACATTAAATTACAATTTAAATACAAAAAATTTGAAAATTTCCGAGGAATGTCTTTTATATTATCTAGTTAACCAGTTCTATTTCATGGGTTTGGTTTTACTAAATTAATGTCGCTACAAACAATTTACAATTATTTTCTTGAAAAGAAACAAAATAATAATAATGTTCTGTATCTGAAGAAAAAAATGTAACAGTATTAACTTCTGGAAGGCATTATTCATAAAATAACGAGTGTTACATTTACAAAAGAAATTGACATTATTTCGAAAATTCTCTCCATAAATAGAAAATAGAATCTGCAATGAAGATTATTTTGTTGCTGTTTTTAGTAGGTGTACTAAATCCTATTTCGTGTTTTGATGTCACGCTATTGCTGAGTAGATGTGAGTAGAGAATAGTGACATGATTTTGTATTCTGTTCTGAACCACTTGTATTTATAGTCCAGGAGAATTACACATTGACATGGCTGTTGCTTGACGTAACTTGGGTATTAGTAAAAATCGGTCGAAAATAATATATACAATGAAAATATAAGGTTGCGCCAAGAAAAAAAAGTTGTGCTATTTGCAGAAAAAATTAAAAACTGCAAAAATACTCAAAAATGAAGTGTTTTTTCTTACATTTTCCAACATAACTTCTTAAATATGCAGTTTACAGAAAAAACTATTACTGATGAAACTGTTTGTTATGAAATTTGCTACAAGATAGAATTGTTTTGATACCTGCGCATATCATATTTTTGTTGCTAAATAGCCAAAACAACGTAAGAAAGTGATGAAAATCGAGGTAATTTGGAAGCGTCAAACTGACAGGCAAGAAATTGTCCAATTCTACTATAAATGTAGATGTAAGTACTTTAAACGATTATAAAACGAAATTCCAAAACCCGATCCAAATCGGTCTGATAGTATTGGTATGAGACAATTTGTTACTAAATTTCAGCGCGAAATGTCGTTATTTTTTTACGTGAGTGCTGGGGTTAAAGTTAGGCATTTTAATTGGCGCTGATTTTTTTACACATACTTGGACCCCTTAACAATCATATAGAATCGTTAGAATATCAATTTTCTTTTTTTGAATAATTTTTGGAGCGAATTTAAAAGTTAGAAAAATTTTGACTTTATAAACAATTACTTTCGTGAAGCGGTTTTGCGGGTTGGAAAATATACCAAAGTACTAAAAAACAGTTCTCGGAAAGACGCTTAACTTGAAAAAAAGAACGTTCAAATCGGTCCTATAAGTTCCGAGATATAGAGTGTCAAAGTCAACAAGCGCTTGCTGCAAAACTATGCATAATGTAACAACAATAAAAATGGAATGGAACTTTCCGTATGTGTTTTCATAAATATGATCGCACGTGTGCTTTTTTTATGAAAATTCAGTGAATATCGCCAAGCCGACCATTTGTGCCGCAAAACCGAGGGGGGGGAGGGGATGAATGATAGAAATTGAAATTGCGCGTTCAAAAAGAGCGTGCCCTCTTCGGCGTTCAATATCTCGGCTTCTACGGCTCCGATTATGATGATTTTTTTTAAATCAATATATCATAATTAGAGGAATTCAATTATCAAGATTTCATTAAAATATTATAAAGCCCTATCAGCCTATTACGACTACCTACTTAAAATTTCACACATTTCATTGTTGCTGTATATGCATGTAAATAATAATATCGATGGTAGATATACATAGTCCGTTGTTAATAGTTTAAAACCTTGAAATTTTTATTTAATATGTAATTTATTTATTTGATATTTATAAAACGTATCATCGCATTATTAAAGTATTCCGCTTTTTACAGCATAGTTGCTGTTTTCGCTCTCAAAATTTTTTTCTACAAGCTGTCATGCGGTGACGGCCCATTAGAATATTTCGGAGACTACTTCGATTTGAATTTTGAAAATTTGGGACCTGGTGGTTTTGAAGGTTTTATTTAAATAGAGTTTAAATAAAATAATGCCATTGTTGTAGTACTTCCGGTTATACCGGTAGTCGCCACCTATTTGCTTATTCTACGCGTAATTTTAGGGGAATTTTATAAAGCTTCCCTATATTCATCTCTAACGGTCCAATGGACTTCGACCTATTTCAATTTCATATTTATTGTCGCATTTGATTGACCGAACCGCCAAAACTTGGTTTTTCTAAATTAGACATCCTGTTAATCAAAATCTGTCTAAATCTATCCATATTACATCTCTATATACCTATCTTTTAATTTTTCTGTTTTGACGGATTTTGTTATAAATAAAATGATCCAATTTCTTGCGAGGATGGCTATGAAATTGCTGCTAAATTTAATAAATCAAATTAACCAACCATAACCAACCATAAGTCATCATTTTCTGTTATTCTGACAGTGGTACCTACTTACAATTAGTTAAACACTGATTTTAAAATAATGGAAAACGGTACTTATTCAAATGTTGATATTATAACTGAAAACAACAATGACGTTGTAAAAAAGTGAAAAACTTTAATAATACGATGATTATGAAAATATAATAAACACGTTTTATAAACATAAATAAATAATTATTTGTATCTATATCTTTTTCTATATTCTACGCATATGTACAATAAATAAATTATATATTAAATAAAAATTTCAAGATTTTATTTAAACATTATTACCACGTAATTATTAAAACGAATACCTATTAACAGTGGATTATGTACCTATATCCTACCATCGATATTATTATTTACATGAATATACAGTATAACAATGAAATGTGAAAAATTTTAAGTAGTCGTAATAGACAGAAAAGGGCTTTATAATATTTTAATGAAATATTGATAATTGAATTTCTCTCATTTTGCTTTATCGATTAAAAAACAATCATCAAAATCGGAGCCATAGAAGCCGAGATATTGAATGCCAAAGCGCGCGCGGTTTTTTTTTTTGAACGCACGATTTCAATTTCTATCATTCATCCCCTCCCCCCGGTTTTGCGGCTCAAATGGTCGGCTTGGCGATATTCATTGAATTTTCATAAAAAAAGCACACGTGCTGTGTGTTTATAAAAACACATACGGAAAGTTCTTGAAAAAACCTACCAAATTCAATTTTTATTGTTGTTACATTATGCATAGTATTGCAGCAAGCGCTTGTTGACTTTGACACTCTATATCTCGGAATTTATAGTACCGATTTGAACGTTCTTTTTTTCAAGTTAAGCGTCTTTCCGAGAACTGTTTTTTAGTACATTGGTATATTTTCCAATCCGCAAAACCGCTTCACGAAAGTAATTGTTTATAAAGTCAAAATTTTTCTAACTCTTAAGTTCGCTCCAAAATTATTAAAAAAAAAAGAAAATTGATATTCTAACGATTCCATATGATTGTTAAGGGGTCCAAGTATGTGTAAGAAAATAAGCGCCAACTGAAATGCCTAACTTTAACCTCAGAACTCACGTAAAAGAATAACGACATTTCGCGCTGAAATTTAGTAACAAATTGTCTCATACCAATACTATCAGACCGATTTAGATCGGGTTTTGGAATTTCGTTTTATAATCGTTTAGAGTACTTACATCTACTTTTATAGTAGAATTGGACAATTTCTTGCCTGTCAGTTGAACGCTTCCAAATTACCTCGATTTTCATCACTTTCTTACGTTGTTTTGGCTATTTAGCAACAAAAATATGATATACGCAGGTATCAAAACAATTCTATCTTGTAGCAAATTTCATAACAAACAATTTCATCAGTAATAGTTTTTTCTGCATATTTAAGAAGTTATGTTGGAAAATGTTAGAAAAAACACGTCATTTTTGAGTATTTTTGCAGTTTTTATTTTTTTCTGCAAATAGCACAACTTGTTTTCTTGGCACCACCTTATATTTTCATTGTATATATTATTTTCGACCGATTTTTACTAATATCTAATCTACGTCAAGCAAGCCTCCAAGGTTTTGAGCTTAATTCTCTTGGACTATTATTATAATTTTACGAAATAATTCGATATTGGTGTATACTACTGTATACTAAAGAAACGAATTGTTTTTACTCTTGTTCATGAAAAAATTTTTACCTAGATTATAATGAGTACCAAAAACGTTTTTTTTTTAGTTCTTCTGGGAAAGAAGACGTCTAAATACCGACTTAAAACAGCTGTAAGGACTGACGAAAGAGTTCGACTTATGAACGAAATAGTTAGTGGAATTCAAGTAATTAAAATGTACACTTGGGAAAAACCCTTTGAACAGTTGGCACAATATACAAGAAGGTATATAAAAGTTATAGTTGCTAGAACTGCTTATTACTGTAATCATATTTTTAGATTGGAAATAAAACAAATCCGAGCCGCATCAATGGTAAGGGCCATAAATGCATCAGTCTCAATGTTCTTAAACAGGATTGCCCTTTACTTTGCCGTGCTAGCCTATACTCTTGGAGGCAACGTGCTTCAAGCATACTACGTTTTCGTCGTGACATCATTCTACAATGTTTTAAAACAGCCGCTAGTGTTTCATATCCCTCAAGCCATATCTTCATTAGCAGAGGCTTCTGTTTCTGTTAAGAGAATAACAGACTTTTTACTGGTGGAAGAGACGGAAGTAGTACCAAAAACGGTTAATCATGATGTTAAAACTGTAGGTATTTTCTTTCACATCGTCTCTGTTAGGTGGAACTTAACAGGAGAAGAAGTTTTGTCAGATGTAAATTTTAGCGCAAAGAAGAACGAACTTATTGCCATAGTAGGGCCTGTAGGTATGTTATAACGAGCGTTCAAATAAAAACGTGGTCAAGTTGGTTCTGAAAATTTGTACGTAGGGCGTAGCGTATAGCAAATGAACTTAAACGTCATCTGTCAAAGCGCTATATCGCCGCTATCAATTTGAATATTTTCGTTTTAAAAAGCGTTTAAAATGGTGTTTTCTCAAGAACAAAAAGTGTTTATCATAGAGTCCTACTTTAGAAATGGACGCAAGATTGATGGAATATGGAAGTATTCTATTGAGGAATGTTTCATAGAATTTCAAAATCAATTTCCCGGCGTTGTTGAGTACAAAATTTTTCAAAGTGCAGTTCAGCGTTGTGTTAATGTTTTTCGTGAAACGGGCAGTGTAACAAGAAAAGAAGGAAGCGGCCGACCTAAAAAGCGGACTGAAGAATTAAAAGAAAATGTCCAACAAATAATGGAAAATGCGCCAAGAACTTCTGTACGTGTTTTATCACAAATGGTGGGAGTATCAGTCGGTACCTGCCACACAGTGTTAAAAAAAGATTTGCGTTTGTTCTCCTATCGTTTAACTTGTCAGCAAGAACTTCATGAAGTTGATTTTCCGCGACGGGCTGTATTTTGTGAATGGTTTTTAAACAACTACGGTGAACTTCATAATATCACCTTTTTTTCTGATGAAGCCTGGTTTCATTTAAGTGGTTACGTAAACTCACAGAATATGAGAATGTGGTCTTCTGAAAAACCAGATAACTTTTTTGTCGAGGGCCCTCTACACGCTCAAAAAATTGGAGTTTGGTGTGCTCTCAATCGAAGGAGGATTTATGGACCTATTTTTTTTAATGGTACTCTTACTGCGCAAAGGTATAGAGAAGAAATTATCGCTCCTTTTGTTAACCAGCTGGAAGAAAACGAAATTACAAACTTTTACTTTCAACAAGATGGCGCAAGGGCACATACGGCAGGCGAGACGATGAATATGTTGAGGGAAGTTTTCCAAAATCGACTAATAAGTCTCAATGCTGAACATGAATTTCCACCGAGGTCATGTGATATTACGCCGTGTGATTTCTTTTTGTGGCCTTACCTTAAAAACACTATTTTTGAACTGCCTATTCCTGATTTAAACCATCTGCAGGCTCGACTTATAGACAAGATTCGTGAAATTAACAATACCCCGAGCATCTTAGAAAATGTCTTTAATTCTTTGAGGAACAGGTGTGAAAAGTGCTTGGAACAAGGAGGGGGACACTTTCAGCAGCTGCTTTAATTTATTGTTATAACAAGGAGGGGGACACTTTCCGCAGCTCCTTTAATTGTTTGTTATTGTTATCACGATTATTCTTTAAAATAAAGTTATATAGTCATTAACGTTATTGAAACTGACAGCTGCTATACAGCTCGTTGAGAAATGAGGTTAAGTTGGTCGCTATAAGCTACTCCCTACGTCCAATGTGTCAGAGCCAACTTCGACCACGTTTTTATTTGAACGCTCGTTATAATTAATTAATATATAAAAATGATTCCTAAAACCTTCATATACAAGGGCGTTCCAAAGTAAATAGGACTTTTCAAAAATACCTAGTTATTTCTAGGTGAGGCCATCTAATGGCAATTACATGCGTCGGAAAGGTAGATCATTCACTGATGTACTATCAAGATTTCATGGCTTTTGGACGAATATAGAAGCGGAGTTATTGTGTCTGAAGTGACAGTATGTCTGTGTCATCGGTACAAAAATGAGCATCGAATCGTTAATATTGTTTTGTTTTAAACTTGGCAACACCTTTACCGAAACATTTCATTTGATGAACTAAGTTTATGGTGATGATTATTTATCCCGTAGCAGAGTTCATGAATGGTATATGCTGTTTAAAAACGGCCTGAGGACATAAATGATGAACAACATGTTGGCCAACCGAAATTCGTGATTCCATCGAAACTGTGCATGGGTTCATCAGAGATCAGTCAAAATTTTCATTGAAATTTATGGAATTGGAATTGAGCATCTCAAAAACATCAATTTATTGCATTTTGGCCGAACATTTGGGCTACCGAAAAAGTTTTGCACTGTTTATTCCGCATAAATTAACTGATAAAATTGCTCAATTCAACATTCGAAGGACATCATTAAGGAGGCCAAAAAGGACAAAAACTTCATTTACAACATTCTGACTGGCAATGAAACGTTGTGTTCAATATGACCTAGAAACCAAGCGCCAAATTGCCGAGCGGAAGGCGCCAGACGAGCCAAAACCTAAAAAATCTCGTTTGAACAAGTCAAAAGTGATGACCATGTTGATATGCTTTTACGATTCCAAGGACATTGTCCACAAATAGTTCGTTTCACCGGGCCAAACAGTGCACAATTCTAACCTGACCTTTTGAAATGTTTGGTGCATCGTAATCGTCATATTCGGCCAGAATATGGAAACTGGATGCAGGATAATGCGCCATCTCATCAATCGACACTTGTGATCGATTTTTTTTTACTAAAAATCGTATTTGAACTGTCAACTACTCCCCGTATTCACCCGATTTGGCACCGTGCAACTTTTACTTTTTCGGAAAAGTGCGTTAGCTTAGCCGATGAAAGGAAAGCGTTTTGTGGACGAATAAGCCATCCAAAAGGCTTGTAGCGACATCCTGAAGGACATCCTGGCCGATGATCTAATAAGACATTTGACATTTCAATACACCTAATTTTATTTTAGGTGCGGTTGATGGGAACATTTTATTATTGATAACTTTCAACAACTTCACGGACTTCAGCAACGCAATAATGTTTTCAATAACAACAACCATATTGTAGATTTAGTATTTTCTAATTTTAATTGCAATGTTGAAAAATATGATTGCCCTTTAATCAGTAAGGATTGACATCACCCTTCTTTTGTAATGAATTTCACTAGTACAGCCTACAATTTTCCACTGCTATACGATCTTATTTCTCAAACCGATTGCGCTTTTCTCTCCAGTTTTGATGATGTGGAGGATATGTGTTTAAGGTTTTATGAAACATTATACAATTTGTTCGACGTTACTGTTCCTAAGTTTTTGTCGTATATTCGCCGATATCATTATCCTCCTTGGTTTACGTGTGTGGTTATTAAACTAATTCGTGCCAAAGCTGCTGCCCTTAAAAAGTATAAAAATATAAAACTCTTGATTATTACAATGCCTTTAGAGGGATCTCCGTTAAAGATGTAAGCGACAAGCCTAAGATGAAGCCTACAAATCGTTTATATGTGACCTTATCTATCGATCCTAAAAAGTTTTGGAATTTTATTCAGATAAAGAAGGGCTCATAGCGTATTCCAGGTATCATGGTTCACAATAATATTGAGCTCTCTAACCCTACTGATATTATAAATGCCTTTGCTGATTATTTCAACAGTCTCTTTATTCAATCTCATCCAATAGACTCATCTAAATTTCCTGCAAATGATAAACTTCAGTACCTATTGTCATTTCGTCTATCAAAGAGGAAGTTGTCTTACGAGGTCTGCGAAGATCTAAAGACTCCTTCACAATGGGTTTTGGAATATGGATAGTATTCCAAATTTTATTCTAAAAGACCGTTCATCATTTGTTCAACCTTCCACTTTCCCGTCTCTTTGGAAAAAGGCATATGTGTGTCCAATATTTAAATTAAAGTATTTGAATCTACTCTGTATAATGAAAGTAGTGGAAAGTCGACTCTATTTCAAGTCATCCTGAAGGAATTGCCCATCACAAAGGGTAGGTACATTGGACGTAAGTGGTATAATTTCATATGCTTCCCAAGAACCATGGGTATTCTCTGGAACCATAAAAGAAAATATAGGTATTATTTATTATCTCACTAAGAATTTGATATCCATTCATCATCATGGATTTATGTAGAGAAGATCTACCCTTTCAAATCTCACTGTCTTTTCTCATTTATTTCGGAAACCTTGGATGGTGGAGGGCAAGTTGACGTAATATTTACAGATTTCTAAAAAGCCTTCGATCATATAAACCATTACATCTTACTGAAAAAGTTACAAGGATTTATTTTATTAGATTCTTTGATCAGGCTGTTGCAATCGTATTTAGCAAATAGACAATCTGTGGTCAGGTTTCAAAATTTTACCTGTCAAGCTTTTTCCCCCTCTTCAGGGGTGCCTCAAAGCTCTAATTTGGGACCGCTTTTGTTCTTACTTTTTATTAATGATTTTCCGGATATTTTTTCATGTGATTATTTTATTCCCTCGTCAGATCCAAAATGGAGTATGGTTCCATAATATGGTATCCAATATACAATATACATTGGCAAAGGTTGGAGTCAGTTCAAAGGTGGTTTTTAAAATTTGTGGCATTTACGCAAGATGGTGTCTATCCACCACAAGGTTTTAATCATGTAGATCCCTTGACTAATTTATTGGTTAAATCTCCGATATGCAATTTATATAATAAAACTGGAAATCATTGCGATATATTTAATGATAATTTAAATGTACTAAGTCAATTTGTTTATCGTATAGTATAAGTTGTGTTTTATAAGTATTCATATAGGTATGTGCATTTGTGTATTTACGTATGCTTAGTATTGGTAAGTAATGACAATTATTGTATTAGATGTAGGTATTTATTCCTGTAATTGGGTTTAATCTTGTTGGAATAATTAAACTTATTAGTATTATTACATGCTTTTAGAATGTGAAAATCATTGTATTAAGTCGGAATTTAAATAACATAAATCGGGAAAAAAACTTTTTATTGTTCTTATTTTTAAAATGTTTTTTTTTTACTTTGGAACGCATCTTATGCAATTTGAGAAATTTAGCCCTTTAATAAAATTGATATTTAGGTTTAAATTTTGACCATATAATTAGTGTCAGAAAATAAAATTTATCAGTGAAAAGAAAAGTTGAACTAGAAAGATGAAATTCCGTTTTATATTTAATCCATCCTCATATTTTAATTTTCAATTTGCTTTTAAGGCCATTTATAGCAATAATAGCAATATAATAATTTAAATTCAATGAAGTCTTAAAAGGGTTATCAGATTTTGTGGGAAGGTGAGCAATTACTATAAATATTTAGACTGAAATTTGACGCTCTTTATCTTGCATCCGATCAGAAACAGAAATCTAGAGATGCAGGTCATAGGAGTGTGGTGGCCAACGCATTTCACGCAAGTGTTCCTGTATTTATGAACACTCGACAATAGAAAAAATATAGTTGCAAAGCATATTAGTACAAAATAAATTATAAAACTACAATAATTTGACACGAACTGATTTTTTTCATTTTTAAAATCTTATTCACAGCCCTTCACTGAAGTGTTAGTTGAAACACTTAGTTGACTTAATAGTAAACAAAAATGGTACAAACATGGGAACTAATCAGTGCTAGATTATTTAGCATTTGGGTTATCAAAAAATTTGGAGTAGTTACATTTCATAAAAAAGTAATGTTAATATAATATTCGCATACATTAATGTCTATATATACACGGAGGATATTTAGGAACATAATTATCGTTAGTTTATCCAAAAGTGGAACGTATGGACTCCAACTGTCTTAAGTCTGTGTCTATTGCGTATTTAAGCTCTACTTTTTCTATGTTAAGCAATAGAAAATCATCATATGTGAGTAAATTAAATTCCTTAGATTTCTTTACAAAATGGTATCTATAACTTTCGCTTTAAGATCCAAAATGAGCCTAAACATTTATTCAGATATCTGCGTCAAGCCCTTCACTGAAGTCATTTTAAAAATCAGTGGTTTTAGATCTTTTTGCCCAAGTGCCTATTACACGAACTTTTGATGCTATCATATTCTTTCAATTTAGTTTCAATTTTTTATTTAAGGTAGTGGGAAGTCGACTCTATTTCAAGTCATCCTAAAGGAATTGCCCATCACAAAGGGTACATTGCACGTAAGTGGTATAATTTCATATGCTTCCCAAGAACCATGGCTATTCTCTGGAACCATAAAAGAAAATATATTGTTTGGTGAAGAAATGAATTTAACAAGATACAAGGAAGTTTGCCGCGTGTGCGCCTTGGAAAAAGATTTTTCATTTTTACAAAATGGAGATGAAACAATTGTCGGCGACAAAGGTATCACCTTAAGCGGCGGCCAAAAAGCTAGAATCAATTTGGCCAGAGCGGTTTATAAAAATGCAGAGATCTACTTGCTCGATGACCCACTGTCCGCTGTAGATATGCACGTGGGTAAACAGTTGTACGATAATTGCATTTTAGATTTTTTAAGAGGCAAGTGTGTACTATTAATCACTCATCAACTTCAATATCTCAGAAACGTGAACAGGATTTATGTGATTAAAAACGGTGTGTTGGATACTTGTGAATCGTTTGATCAATTTGATTCTGTTCATAATGAGGAATCAGATAACTATAAAAACGACACTAAAGGTTTAGAGGAACCGCTATTGTCACGAAATAATACAGAAACCAAGGAGCATAAACAAAGTGGCACTATACAAAGTAATGTGTACAGAAAGTATATTAAATTCGGAGGAGGTTACTCTACGGGAATTTTAATTATATCTCTTTTCATCATTGCACAATTTTTAGCGAGTACTGTAGATTACTTTTTAACATACTGGTTAGTTATATAATTTTTTTCCATAAATCAATTTGTTCGATGTCAATTATTTGCAGGGTAAATTTGGAAGAGTCCAAAGTGAACAGGACTACTGAGGAGATTGGATTCCTTAATGATTTATTTATGTATAGAGATAATTGTCTATATTTATATTCCTCGTTGATATGTTCGATAATACTTGCAACAATTATAAGATCTACGTCGTTTATGCAGGTTTGCATGAACGCGTCAAAGAGGTTGTACTACAATATGTCAGCCAGCATCTTAAACACCAACATTAAATTCTTCTATACAAATCCAGCTGGTAGGATATTGAACCGGTTTTCTAAAGACGTAGGATTAATTGATGAATTCTTACCTTTAGTTGTATTGGAAACATTGCAGGTAAAATAAATGAGTATTAAAAATCACAGCAATAATTGAGATATATACTAATTATTTCAGGTTCTCTTCAATGTAATATCGATAACAGCGTTAGTGTCTATAGTTAATCCTTGGATCCTAATACCTACTGGTGTTGTACTAATAATATTTTACTGGTTAAAATCGTTTTTCCTGGCAAGCAGTCAAAATTTAAAGAGAATGGAAGCGACGGGTATATATGTTTTATTCGATTTAAACAAAATTATGATTTATTTTCTTCATCAGCAAGAAGTCCAGTTTTTTCTCACATAAGCGATTCCATGAGAGGTGTAGCAACAATTAGAGCACTGAACGCTGAGGATTATTTAGTTCGTGAATTTGAGTTTAAACAAAATTCTCATAGTTCAGCGTTTTATTTGTTTATGGCTTGTAACAGGACTTTTGGATTCTGGTTGGATTTTAATTGTGTGGTCTACACTGGAATTGTAATTATGAGCCTTTTGTTAATGCTAGATAGTAAGAATGCTACATATGGTCCTTTATCAAACAACAGTTAATTAATACATTTTTAGAAACAACTGGAGGAAATGTTGGTTTAGCTATTACTCAAAGCTTATCTTTAGTTGGTATGCTTCAGTTTGGTATACGCCAGTGGAGTGAAATGGAAAATCAGATGACTGCTGTAGAAAGAGCAGTGGAATATGCTGAATTTAAACCAGAAGCTGATACTAACAACGGCGAAAGATCTGAATTCAAAGATTGGCTCAAGTTAGGTTGTATCCAATTCAAGAACGTTTCTTTAAAATATAATCTACAAGAATTATCTGTTTTGAACAATATCAATGTAACCATTAAGGCTAAAGAAAAAGTTGGCATAGTTGGAAGAACAGGTGCAGGAAAATCATCCCTGGTGGTAGCTCTACTTCGTTTAGTTAATACGGAAGGATCAGTAACAATAGATAATATCGACACAAAAACTATTCCTTTGAAGTTGTTACGTTCGAAAATATCTATAATTCCTCAAGATCCAGTCTTATTTCAGGCAACTTTGCGCTGGAATTTGGACCCCTTTGATGAGTATAAAGACGATCAGTTGTGGGCCGCTCTTAAAGAAGTGCAGCTAGATCGTTTAGTTGAAGAACAACCTGGTGGATTATACAGTAAGGTATATGAAAATGGTTCTAATTTCAGCGTAGGACAAAAGCAGTTGTTATGTATAGCCAGAGCGCTTGTACGGAAAAATAAGATTCTTATTTTGGACGAGGCAACATCTAGTGTCGACCCAGAAACTGATACACTCATTCAAAATTCAATAAGGGATAAATTTAGTGACTGCACTGTTTTAACGATAGGTATGTGTAGGTAAAACAAATTTGTTTGAGCTCTGAGGGTGGGATGCGCAATGGCAAAGTAGTGGAAGGGGGAACAGAGCCTATTTTATTTTGAGCTTCCATTAGTGAGGATCAATTTCCCCCCTCCCTTCACATCAAGTACGCTCTCTTTTTTGATTTGCACATTTCAGAGCTCGAGTGAAATTTGTGACAACCACATTTTTTAAGACAAACACCTATTTATGAGGCAATAATCTAAACCAATTAATATGTCATTTAAAGACTAAGTGGAATATCAGACAAAATTAGATAATTGTACTTTCCAGCCCACAGACTCCGGACTATAATGGATTCCGACAAAATAATGGTGCTCGAGACAGGATCTGTAGTTGAGTTTGACCATCCGTATAATCTTTTGCAAAACAAAGAGTCGACATTTTATGAGCTGCTAACTACGACAGAGGATTCAGACTTTTTAGATTTAACGCGAATTGCGGAACAGGTAATTTATTTATTTAATTGATTGTGTGATTAAAGAAAATCTGTACTCTTTCAGAACTTCAAGAAAAATAACGGTAGCTGATAATAGGGTAACAGTTAGGTAATGTTAATCGCATTGTAAATAAAAAACATTTAGTTGTATCTCAAATTTACTGAAATATAAGACATTGCTACATTGTAATGTCAAAAATAGTTAAAATTTTCTTGACAACCTCTAATTCCGCAAATATTCCCTACGAAATATTGTTAGATTTAGATCCTTTGTAATTTGTTTTGATATGCAAGTTCCATTTTGACCTAAAATAGAGTGTATATTTTAATTAAGTATATACGGGTGTTCTGAAAGTGATTCTACGGATTAAAATAATAGCATTATGTAATGAAAATTATTTCGAATTGTCAATTGTTTGCAAGTTACAGCTTGTCAAAAATCAATTTTTTATATTTTTTCTATTTAAATCACTTATTTAAATTAAGTTCGATTAGTTTCTCATTTTGCACACCCATTAGTAGATGAATCTATATTGGTCCAGTCAGAGAAAGTTTCATAATGCGCTGCTAGATGGCACTTTACCTAGAACTCAAAATTTGTTTTGTTCATACCTTTTTTTCTTGCTAGACATCACAGAAATTTAAACATCATTGAAAAGAGAAACAATATCAGAAGAAATTATGTACTCTTTATTCAAAACGTTAAATTTAACCGTTTAGCAGGAAATCGCTATTAAATTGTTTCAAACATCAAATTTTGATAATTCTGCAATTAATCAAGTTGCCATGCTGTAATACATTCCTTTCTAAAACCAGCTTCGTTAGTAAATAAAATATTGTTAGTAAATTCATTATAATCATCTTATTTTTCCACAAGGCTATTACAGAGCCGAAAACAATTATTATGGTGAAAAATCAAATTCATACCCGCTTTAAACAATTTTTGTTGTAATTCGTAACACCAAAATTACTAATGATGTTTATTTGAAGCATGGCAACTTGATTAATTACAGAAAGAATTATCAAAAATTTGATGTTTAATAACACATTAATCATTTATCGGCTTGAATAAAGAGTATATATATTTTTTTGATATTGTTTCTCTTTTCAATAATTTTTAATTTCTGTGATGTTTAGCAAGAGAAAAAGTTATGAACAAAACAAATTTTTGAGTTCTAGGTAAAGTGCCCTCTAGCAGGGGATAATGAAACTTTTCTCTGACATGTCCAATAGAGCTTCATCTACTTAGTGGGTGTGCCAAATGAGAGACTATTCGAACTTGCATTGAATAAGTTATTTAAATAGAAAAATAAAAACAATTGAACTTTGATAAGCTGTAACTTACAAACAATTAACAATTCGAAAAAAATGCAGCTAGCGCCCTCTATGAACTTTAACCAAAATGTGAACAGATTTCAATTCCTCTACTCAACGAACTCCAATCATCAAAATTTTGTGAGGATATTTGCATTTGTTAAGGAATAAATTAAAAAAACTGAAATAATATTTTACATTTAACACCCTGTATCTCTTTAACTATCAACTTTTGGACTAAGGTAAGTTCGGCTAAATCGCAATATTTTTACTTGGAGAATCTACCCATGAATTTTGGCCCATTACGTCGCGACCACCCTGTATATAGGGTGGTTCAGATTTTAATAGACAAATTTCGAGAAAGTACTAAACAACAAAAATTAACATCATTTTGCTCTCTAAACATAGGCACAGAAAGCCACCGTTTATGGCATACAGGGCGTTGAAATTAATAAAATTAAAACAATTTTTTTAAATATCTGGAAAACAGCTAGAACAAAATTATCCAAATTTAGCATAACATTTTTAAATTAAAGTAAAAATACTAGAGTTATTTTTATATGTAGGTATTCTGGCATAAGTCCAATAATAAAATAATGTTACATAATTTAACCACAGACAATATGTATAGCTTATCGCTCTATATTGTCTGTGATTTAACTAAACCTAATCCATTTGGTAAAACACCTAAAAATTTATATCAAACATGTATCTATTATTCTTAGTGAAAATTTATTGTTTTTGCTATAATAATATTAATTTTAAATCTAACGTAGGAATTACATAATCAACTGAAATATTTTTTATAATAATTTACATTTAAATACATGTTATATGAAAATTTAATTGTATATATTTTGGGCTTTTTTGAGTAAGAGATGAAACATCGTATTATTATTAAAAAAGTGTCATATTTTTCCAAAAATCTCAGAGATGTTTGACTTAGGATTATTAAAATTAAATTTGGGCTAATAAATTTATCCAATTAAGGGAGAAACTCCAATAGATTGTGAGAGTGTATTTTTTGTATGGAAAGTATTGTTAACAAGAATCCTGATTTTGACGAACCGATTATTTTGGAAACTGAACTCAATCATCAAGTGTTTAGTCATTGACTTAAAAATTTTATCATTATTTTTGTAAGCTGTACCCTTAGCTGTTTTAGGAATTTTTACAGCAATATTCTTTTAGACTGCTGATGTGTACAATAAATTTCTATACATATTTTTTTATCAAATATTTACATTAAAAAACATCTCAAATTTATTCTATGTACTAATCTTATTTTGAACTTAAAAAATAATAATTTATTAAAGCCTTGTTTTTAGAATAAAGTGTGTTAAAGTCTTCTAAAGTTCTAGAAACTACATTAGAAACTAAAAGCACTAGTTGAATTTGGCAAATTAATTAATGGCACTGAAATTTTGTTCATCCTGACAGCGCATACCAATGTCTGCGTCACTGATAGACAGATTTGTATATCGACTTAGTGAATAAATTATTAGAGCCAGTTTTCATCTATCTACATCAAATATCTTGACATATTTAAATTTCTCTTAAATTTGAATCCCCTACATCCCGGAAACCAAGCACTACCCAATCCATGTTTATGGGAACTTTATTTCTTATTTTGTGAAGTTCTATCATTTGCTGTGCGCAATTTGGGACACTTAGTTTATAGATACAATTTTGTGAAAAATATATACACCCCGCAAATAATTTTCTTCTAATTTTTACGTTTTAATACATAAATCAATAGACTTCAAGTTTTTAGTGATATTGTGTGTCCAGCAATTACACTAACAATATCTAGTAAATAGCTAAAATAATTTGTTGTTAGAATCACCACGATAAAAATTAAAAAAATACATTTAAATTTAAGGGTTTCTTTCTTACTTACCATTACTAGAATTTCCATGGTAACTTATATTGCCAAAATCAACATTTTCCAAAGGTTGCGAAGGATAAAATTCGCACAGAGCCGGTAACTTAGAACTACATTTCACCACCCTCCACATCCTATCTGAGTCTAACACGACGCAATCCTCGTTTCTGTGCTTAGACCTTGGATGACCTGGTCCCCACGCCCTGTATCTGAAACAACTAAGCTTCGAGCCATTTAGAGTTCTAAAATTGCCCTCCTCGTTGATGTCGTTCAGACCGATATATGCCACTTTATACCAGTCTTGAAGGGTGTCATTTATGTACTGGGATAAATGGTTAGTTCTGATCTCAGAAAGAACATTTGCTAGGTGGGCTCCGATATTTTGACATTTTTCTGTGGATCTGTTATAATTATGTTTTTCTTCAATCAACCCAAAAAGACCGATAGATTTGATACAAGTTGAATTCTCTGTCACTGTAATAAATGAATGGTCTTGTGATACGCAATCATTAGGGATCGGAAACTTTGTGGTGACAATCGAATAAATAAACAATAGTAGTCTATATTATGGTAGTAAGCGGCAATACACGTTTTAGTAGCAGAGATCGGCTAAATCTGTGGTCAAGCCGTGTGCCGCTCTACGCTCACAATACACAATACTACTGACTGCCATAAAACATGTGCCATATACTCGACCAAGCAAAGCGTCAAACACACGCGCAAACGACAATGAAATGCAGCACCAAAGTCCCTCAGCAAAAAAAACTGGATTGTTCACAGGCACATTAGGCAAACAGAGCAGGTATTATGGTGTCGCTAGATAAGTATCGAATAAATTGATCGATGCGAAACTTTAGATCAGGCAGACATGTACATGTACATATTATTATTGTACAATTATGCAAATAGTGGGATTACTAAAATGGGAAGTAGTTAATCCTACGTCACCATTAGTAAAAATAGCATCTATTAAAAACTTTGACTATTTTAGATATGCACCTGTGACCTCGGTAAATGTTGAACGATAATTTTGATTTTGAATGGGTATTTACCGATCTCCGGAGACGATTGACTGCGGAATACTTAGGACAACTGTTAATTACTTTCCACAATCGCTTTTCCTATGAGTAAGAAATTGATTTCTATAATATATTATATATCTATATGTCAAGATTGTCATTTATGAAAAGCCTTTTGTTGGGAATTTGTTGTACTAATTTAAAAGTAGCAGTTATGTATTGCCAGTGTCGTGTTAGTTTTTTTTTATTTTTAAAAAATATTGTGTAAATTACTGCCCAAAAAAAGGAGTTTTTTTCTTTGAAAGATGATGAATGTTGCCCAGGTTGAATAGAATATTTTGATTTTAATGAAAATTAAAGAAAAAGAAATAATAGCAATTTCATTTAAACTACACTGAGAGAATTTCTTTGTTACGGTTAGTAAAAATCCATTAACCGTAACAAAATATCTGCATTAAATAGGCGCCAAGTGAGTTGCCTTCCTACCACAAGAAAAACTGCTTTGCTGGAAGGAACTCACTTGCAGTAAGTAGTTTTGCTATAATCTCTTTGCTACCTCAAGTAAGTCAACTCATTAACCACAAACGACTCAACTCATTAACCCCAAACGAGTGAACTCATTAAATATTTGCATTTGTTAAGGAATAAATTAAAAAAACTAAGCGAGTGAACTCCGTATTTACTATTTTTCGGTGTTGTTGGCTCTCCTCACTCTTTCGTGCACCATGCAATGCAACTTAAATGTACATATTTTCAAACAAGCATAAAATGAAAATCCCCATTCGAGAAGTAAGAGTTTGTATCCAGCCTGCATTGTGTGCATGTAATCACGCATGCATATAAGTATTATTGCATACCTACGCAAACACTCTAATTGAAAACTTTCTGTCGGTTGTTAGACAACTGAAAACTGACTCAACACTCGATCACTAAACATCTATTTATTATAAAGGACCCATCGACTAACGATTGACGAACGTATATCCAGTGCTTACGTGTTACAGCAAAATGGCGATACCTCTAACTTCTCTATGGACGAAACCATGGTCAGTATAAGGCACGCGTAATCGCGCATGCGCACTGAGCCGAATTCCGGTTTATTCTGGAAATTATTAAGTGAGGCCTCAGTTACAGTAAGTGAGCCCTAATTTGCTACAAATAAGGACTGACTAACCCCAATTGGATCAATTCTAAAAAAATACATTCACTTACGCGAGCAAAGCAACACACTTGGGACAGATAGAGAGTCGACTAAAATAAAATTTCAACTGAACTATCATATAGCCACAATACTTTTCTTTGTTGTGGTAGCAAACACCTTTCAGCGAAACGCATTTACTTGTGGCAGCATGAATTTTTTTCTGTGAGAGCAAAAATTTTACCTACTGTAGCTAAAATATCTTAACAAAGCCCCTCACCTGGTGGATTTCTTTCAGTGTATGAAATAGAATATACAGAGTATCCTAATATTCCGTGTAACTACCAAGATTCTTGGAGTCAAAATAATTAATACTGCTAGATATTCGATATAGCCCTTAAAATGGATGAAAAAAAAAATAATAATTTTCTTCAAATAATTAAACGTTTTATCTAATTTAAATGAAATTGGTTATATTAGTTTACAGAAATGGGAATAATATACTTACATTCTCTATAAATATGCTCATATTTTTTTGCAGGTTCTTAATTTATGACAAAGATTTTCTCCAAGCTGTTCATATTTTTTTTAAAAATTCAAATAATTTTCGCGTATTTTATTAATCTTCACCAAGATATTTTTGATAAGAAAATCTAATTTAACTGGAATCAAAACTTTAGGAAGTTTCGAAAATTCTACAAATACGCCCTCGTAATAATTTAAACTGAATTTTTCGAAAAGGGTTTACTTAATCAAAACTAAACAAGAGTATTTTTTTCTCTAATAGTCTGAAAATCAACAATTTTCAAAACTTCAAATGAGTAAAAATGAGTAGTAGAGAAGACATACGAAATTTTGAGGTAAAACAGTATCGGTCACTTTCTAAAACTACCCTTTATAGTCCACAGTACAGGCCCCCTCTAGAAAGTTGATTACCACATACTTTATAACTCCTGAGGCGCTTCTTGAAAGAGAAAAAGGGATTTTTATATCAAGTATAATATTAATTTATTTAGAAATAATGCATTATGCACCAAGATCGTATTAATCGCCTCAAAAATAACTTCATTTGTTTATAACTTTTAAATTTTTAAGCATAAAATAAGCAATATTATAATTATTTATTAGAAACAAATAATAATTTACATAATAATAATTAATAACCATTTATAAATTTGAAATTTTTGGCGTGAAAAATTTAAATTTCATCACGTTTATTGATTTATTGATTTTTTAATAATTTTCGGACATTAAATTGTCGGACACTTATATCACTATTTTGTACAGTAGATTTAAAAGTGAAAAAATTGAAAATTAGATATGTGGTAATCGATTTTTCATACCCTGTGAAAATTCCGATTTCCAGCTGTCGGACTTAAAAAACGCGGCTTGAAATTTGTCGGACAACAATACTTTAAGACTGAATTAATTATTTACAATTAATTTTACTAAAAATTACGTATGTGGTAATTGATTTTCAATACCCTGTTATTTTGGCATGTTTCGACCGGTAGACACGTCAATGTCGGAGGAATTTCTGTCGGACAAATTTAAATCGGCATTCGCAACAAAATTTCCAGTTACTTAAGCTAAAAATAAAAGATGTGGTCTTGAGTTTTCAAGACCCCGGGAAATTGCCATGTTTTTAGACTTTTCCGAGTGGAAAAGCGGAGGAATCGAGAAAAGTCGTAGAGGAAAAATGTGGTAGACGCGTCAAAACGAAGCGCCTCAGGAGTTATAAAGTATGTGGTAATCAACTTTCCAGGGGGGGCCTGTACTGTGGACTATTACCCTTTACACAAGATGGAATTTGAATATTATGAATAAAGTATCTCAAGACACTTTCAAGATAGGTAATGGAAAACAACATTTACGGGGAACGCCCCTTAATTTATATAAAAAGCTGAGCTTATTAAGATCACTCTAAAAATAATGTTAATTTGATCATATGAACAAATTTCATATACACGCAGAAAGCAAATCAGTCGTGCTTCCTTGAATAAACATTTTTAATTTTTACTGAAGTCATTAGTGCGTATTTGGGAGATTCTAATACACCTTCACTCTTTGGCTAACTTTGCTACTGAATTAAAATAAATGTTTTCTCCTATTTAGACCAATCTACTACCTCTATGAAAATGTCAGTGCCTTTTGGGATATGGGTAAGTGATACCGCTAAGTTAAATTCACAGGGCTATGTTCCAGTAGGTGTTGACTTTTGAATGGAAGTAATCAGTAAAATATTTAATTTAGTATCAAACTTAGCAAAAAATAAAATAAACTTTAAATAGATTGGAATACCTTCAAATACTCAGCTAAGTGACTACTAACAAATTGAAAATTTGTTCCTCGGAATAAAGGAATTTAGCGGATATAGTCATTTACATATAATTCACACTTACTGCTCAAATTTCCATATGCACTGTAGTAATCGAATGTTAAATCAGCTACAAGTGTTATACCATTCTTTGTTTCTGGACATCCTAGCACATGACAATTTTGACTAAAATTCCGATAGTTCGATGCTTCTTCAGGACTGAAATTGAAAGCCAGGCCGTTTCTCTGCCTAGTAAACTCCATGCAATCTTGCAGATTAGATGTTCTCGTCCAAGAAATAACAGGTATGTTGGATTTATAACAATCCCTTACTTTGTAATATTTCAAATGTCTGTCGTAGATTTCACAAAGGCTTCTACTAGATATTAACCTAACAGAACTAGCGAATAGAAATATGTAAAGAACCAGTTTCAGCGAATGCATGTTTACGAATAATAGACTGATGTACTTATTAAGTAATTTATTAGGACAAATGAATGATGCTTTAATGATTTGAACGAATGACCATTACAATGGCTATTATAGCGATTGACGAGGCGAATAAACTAAATTTCCTCTTGTATATTGTTTTGCTGTTGGACGTAATCAGTTTCTGCAGCAATGGGTGGGGCGAGCTGCAGTCTTTCTGTAAAAGCTCTTTCGATAGTACCAAATACGGAATCTGGTGGATCATGGGTGTTGATCTGAAATGCATGCATATAGATAGGGGGTGTAATAGCGATGAAGTGACAAACACTAAGGATTGATTCCAGTCGTTAAGACAAACAAAATAAATAAGAGTATCTATTTTTCCTGGCACGATATCCAAGGGCTCTACTGAAAATAATGAACGTGAAACATCGTTTTTGATCAATTTCTCAGGGTGTCTGCAGTGCTGTGTAATTGTTAAAAATATTTGTTCTTAAGCGTAATTTACAATTTACTTACTTTATCTTATTTTGTACTTCGATACAATTCTAATTACAGATGAGATTATTTTTGTTAAACGCAACTTAATTTTGTACTTTCATAATACTCATTGTTGAGGGAGATTATTTAATTTGTCACTGAAGCATTAATGGGCAAAACTATTTGGACTTTTTAATTAGTAGATACATTACTAGTTCTGTTGGAAAAGGTTCAATTCTACAAGACGTGCTACTTAGACAAAGGAGCACATATTATACAAAATGTTGTTCAATATTTAAACAATGTGTCTGAGGCACGTTGATTTGGAATAAATGAACTACATTATTGGCCTGCTCGATCACTAGTTATGAATCCTCTTACTTTCACTTGTGGAGTTGTGTGAAAATGTTGGTGTATACCTACTACAGAAGTTGAACACAGAGTAATTTGGTAAAACAATTTTTGCTGCTGCCCAGGAAAGGGAGGATATCTCTAATTTTCCAGTTTGTAAGCTCTTGTTTAGAACATAGCAGCGTATATTTTGGATTATTATAGCTGTAAAATATAGTAAGTACAAGTCACATTTAATTTTCTTCGTCATATACAATCTGATAATGATTTTACGTATAGCTATTTATTCGTCATTTGGTATTTATTACTTTCATATAACCAATAATAACCAAACACACGCTGTTTTCAAATCAAACAGAAAAGCTTTAGGTTTCTATTTAGAATATATGAAGCATACTAATAGTAGCTGCATTACCCTCGTCGTAACTACCTCCTGGAAAATTTAAATAAAAATTATTTAATAATGTATGTATTAAAAATGGTCGAGGGGTTTTAACTGTTAAAAAGAAGCTATTTCATTTTTTTACTCTATTTTGAAGGTTTTAAGCTAATTCAAACAAATTCAAAAGGTTACTTTCTAAAAACAAACTTAAATAAGGTTTCAAAATGTTCTTCGACACCAGAAATTTCGGCATGCAAAAAATATCATAGCCCCACAAAAAGAAAAGGCAAAACCATGGTATCTATCGCTGAAGTCGCTGAATCCGAATCCGGTGTCTGTTTGACCCGATCAGGTCTGAGTTAAGGTCAGTTCAAGGTCAAATGTAGAGAATCAATTTCCAACAAAGTAAACCAATATATCTACCTTCTATAGGTATAGGTTTTTGGGATCGCTCAATCCGAATCGGCTATCCGTTTGATCCGATCAAGTTCAATTTCAAATACCTACATGTCTATCCATTTTTGGGGTTGCTGAATCCGACGCAATGAGCTCGTTAGGAATGGATTATAACTGAAAGCCAATTATTTTGTTTTAATTATTCAAAAAATATGCAGATCTACGCAAATATAATTAGTTGAATCTGCTCGTCTGGTTATTTTTCACCCAAATAATCGCAAATTCTGGTAATACTGTGAAGTATATTGATTTTTACAGTTCCACTGCTAACAATGCTCCTTATGAGTTTCGGACTTTTATCAGGCATTCTAATTAAAAATACTTTCTATCACGCGCGCTCGCTATGGGACCTATAGTGTAGGGGGTTAGGTGCACGGAAAGTGCTAGATAGTACAACAGCGTGATGTTATTTTCATAGCGCAACGCTCTAGCGTGATGTTATGCTATGAAAATAACATCACGCTGTTGTACTATCTAGCACTTTCCGTGCACCTAACCCCCTATGCTATAGGTCCCATAACGACTCGCACTTGTGATAGAAAATAGTATGTGCAACTCGTTCGGAAAAGTTGCCATAGCGCCACTTCGGCGCTTTCCGCACTCGCTTCGCTCGTGCGTCAACTGCGTCCGCGTGGCGCTATTAGCAACTTTCCCCCACTCGTTACATAATGTACTATAAGTTTTATTTGGAAATGATTGATTTAAACTTGTAAAGGGTTTTCTGCGATTTCAGACAACTTTTTATAGTTAAGAACCCTCGAAGTCCTCCTAATTCTAATGTCATGATTTAGCACCTGTTCAGATTTTGCATTTAGATAGCGGTTTTCCTTGTTTATTTTAACGAAAATCAATCCGGAAGTTTGTTGTAAAATCGTTATTACACCCCCTTCCCCCTGTATTTATTGACTCGATTCGTTGACTTGAACAATTGACATTGCAAATTCTCTTACATTTTCCACTTTGTCTGTAAATTTCATTAGAGACAATCTGATATCTCTGCTGGCAAATATGATATCCCTTTTAAGAATGTCTTCATTCAAATTGTCTTCAGATCTCTCTTTGGCCCTGTTTATCAGACATCCAGTATCAGAATAGAGGTGGAGGATAAAAGAGACGTTGCCGATTTCTTTTACGAACATTACAGCTTGTTTCGCATTCTTGGGAAAATTGCTGATTACGAATCCTTTGTCTGTTGTGGCAGTTAGGAGAGATTCTTTCAATAAGTCAATGATGATATCCTGAATCGAAAAATTATTAATCAATTTGGAAGAAGACATATCTATACAGATAACACAGCCACACCAAAAAAGTGGAAGGTCCGAAAGACAAGATTATGGTATCTATATGGTTTTGGGGTCGCTGAATCCGTCTGTTTTACCCGATTAGCTCTGCGTTAGGGTCAATCAATTGGCAATTCGGATTCAGTAACCCCAAAAACCTCCCACTTTTTTGTGGTTATGTAATCGATAATAATTAACACATGGAATATAACGAGGACGTGCATAAACTTTTAAGGAATATTCCTCAGGTAAAAGTAAGCAAATAATATATAACTCTGAAATTCAGTTATCAGTGCCATAGATATGGGGATCGACCAAATTCGTTACCCAAGTAGCACCTTGTGTTAAAATTACTTAACTTCTATATTTATTTGTCTCATTTTTATTTATAAATAAATCTAAATCACTTAAAACTTTCGTAAACAGGTAAATACTATGTTTTCCGGCCATTAAGACCTGATATGGACCAAATCATTCATCTCACTTATTGCGTTGCAAGTTATCTTTCTACATCGCGTAACCAATATGCTGTAAAATGTTCTCCAGTACAACAGTCATTAATCTAAAAGAATAGAACTCTAGATTAACAGAAAGCTACCTACTATAAAATAATCGAGTATAATACTACAGGGCGAAGTATAATTATATTGTGGAAGCAATTTCATCGTCAACATTTTACTGCCAATCAATATTAATTGTAAATATACTAATTCTACCCTTGAAAAGTTTAACGTGCCCTAAATATTTTATAGTTTTTAAGGAAACATTTTTTTTACTTTAAATATGTTTTTCAATTTTTTGTAAAGAATATAGGTTGCTTCGTATTATATTGCTAGAGTATAAAATTTCAAAAATATTAACTTAGAATTTGTGAAATAATTCTATACTAATGTTTTTCAATAATCAAAAATGTTTATTATAAAATAGCTTCTCAGAACTAATGGAAAAATATGGCGGAACTAGTACCACGCGACTTCTGCTGCTTCAGTTCTTTCAGTTAAAGTTGTTAAAACTAAAAATTTTTAATTTTCAGGTTATGTCGAACCTTTTTAGGTTAAAATGTCTTCCTAATCTCAAAACAATTTTTTTATATATGTAAGCATAAATGAAAACATATAATCTACTAAAATAATGTATTAAAAAGCATTACGGATCACCACCTCATTTTTTTTTAAATTTAAACATACAGATAAACAATCAAAGGTAAACAAACCATTTTATCAGGTTAATGTTGACTGTTTGTCATTCTGCTAGAATGATGTCACTTGAACTGATACGTGATGTAAAGTTGAAGTTAACCAACTTTCATCCGTTTTGACCTTGACGGAGTGTCAACTCGCTCTGCTGATACACTATTGGATGTTGATGATCACGTGGATACAACGGATCCGTTATCACGCATGCACGTGGATCCAGGCTCACAGTTGATGAGAGGCACTTTCATTGGTCCGAAGAGGGTATTGGCATAATTTGAAACATATATTATTTTCCAGTAATAATCGGTAGCATAACCATGCAATTCAATCTGCTTTGACATTCATAACCTCACTACTACCTAATTACTCAATTAAATATACAGGGTGATTAACAACTTATTCGAAAAAATTAGAGAATAGATGCGTCACGAAAAATGTCAAAAATGAGTCAATATCGTAAAAAATTATAAAGTCCTTATAGTTTCCGAGAAAAAAATTATTGTATGAGTTATAGTATTTAAATCCCTTACATCGCTGGGTTACTGTAGTCTCTAGCGTCATTCGCGTTGTGCGCTGTACGAAATTCGCTCTCTCTCCACGTGATCTCAGGCGATTCCGAATACTGAAATCCGATTTTAGTAGGTATTACATTACTTTTCCAAGTAGTGTCAAAAATGGCTTACGTGCATAGCAACTCGGAGTTGATGGATATCGCTTTAATTTATGGTGAGGCAAGACACATTTGTGTTATAGTGTAGCATTTGTGTTACGGTGAAGCAAGACATTTGTGTTATGGTGAAGTATTTGTGCTATGGTGTTAACACGTCGGTGGACAAAATTTTTAACAGTTGTTATAATATCAGGTATGTCAAATTATTTTATTAATTTATAATACAAATTAATTTAATTAATTAATAATAACAATATTGGTAAAAACAGTTGAATTTGCCGATATAAAATAGGTGTTATAAAATTTTATTTATTTCTTTGCTTAGGAAAGAAATTCTTTTAATTTTTTGGCGTTCATTTTTTATTACACTTTGCCGTTGTGCCGGTCCACGACTGCATGCTTTGCCTTGCGCCAGGTCGGGTTTTACAGTGGACCAGTTTCCAGTGCCGTACAGAAGCGTATTTTTAAATCATTCTCGGAATGCCCTTTTTGATTTTTTACCTGTACTTTAAGAGTACATTCAAAATTTTTTTTCGGATAAATTCTCATTCACCTTGTAATTTATTTAATGTTCCGATATCAAACATGGTTAACCAAAACCCTGGTTAAACGTTCCATTATTTGTCATTTCCTGAAATCTGTATAATTTTGGAACAGTGATTACCTGAAATTGGTTAACCAACTGTCAAACAAGTAACCGGCGTTTTTAATCGGTAAACTTGTAACCACTTGTGGTTTGTGGCACTTGTTTACTTTACAGTGTTTGTGTTTTTAGAATTTATTTACCCATTGCTCCACGAAAGAAATGATACACCTTATCATCAGAATCTGAACTATCAGATGAGAATAAATTTATTATAAAATATAAAAGCTTGTGCAACATCCATTTTTTAAATAATTTTTTTGTAGGTACTAGCTATTGAATAGATATGCCTATTTTTTATAATAAAACTATACATAAAACATCACGCTCACTACTTCCTGTAAACAATAAAATGTTAGATTAGGCAGGGTTAAGTTAGTTTTAATAATTTTGTTTTCTCTTCACTACCGAAGCGGGTCCATTATTCCCTTCTTTTCAGTTACCAACCGTTAACTCGGTGAAACCAGAAATGGTAATTCGGATAATATCGGAACACAACCTTAATTAGTTACCTACATGGAAAGAATCCATAGGTAAACTAGTCATACACGTTTGAAGTAATTTAGATAGGTAATGAAAATGTAATTTTGCTGTTAAAGGAACAGATCTAAAAGTTATTTTAAGTAAAAATGACTGTCAGATCATTTTTAAAGTAAAAAAATGACAGGTCAAAATACGTACTTAGAAAACTTGAAGGTTAATTTAATACAAGTTTGTAACCTAAATTAGACACAATTTAGGTTTTATTAACTTCAAGATTTGCTAAAATTTAGCTGTCTCAATTGAGAAATAGTTTTGATGTAGTATTACGTACTATAACTCTTGCAGATACTTAGACTTCAACGTATACTTTCACCAGTCTAGATTTATATATTTTTAAACTGTGCTTTTACTTTGTGGTTAAATTCTAAGAAATATATTAATATCAATATTTCTTGAAAGTTGCACTAAGGTAAATTAAAGTGATATATATAAAAAAATACTTTTAATTTAATTTGAAAATCCATATCTTAAAAACAGTGCATTTCCGGATCAAGGTTTTGTTTTTCATATTTTTATCTGAGGAATGTTGAATAGCACAAAATAAAATTAATATAATCTTTATTAGATAATGTGACAATATTTTATCAAAATGTATAAGTATTAGACTAGTTTTTATTAATCAGTCTATTGTCGGTAAACTTCATACAACTGATATTGCGTTCATATTGATAATGATGCTAAATGTCACTACATATTGTACATTACACAGGGTGATTTCACTTTAAATACATAAACTGCAGGAATAAATTAGTTGACAAAAAATAAATAGAGTTTGCTCTATAAACATTTTTTCCTGGGGGCGTGGTAGGTATTTGAGATACAGGGTAGGGTGTTCAAGTTTCCAAAAAAATTATATTTTCTGTCATATCTTCATATTGCGCAGGAAAAAATACCCTCCTGGCGGTTTTTGTCGAAATAATGTTACATTCAGGTATTGTAACGTTAAGTAAATGAAAAGCGTTTCTTGGTGTTTTTTTAATAGTAGCAGCCGCTTAGAAGATAATTTACTTATTTACCGACCACAATGCGCAAAGTTAGTCCACATACTCATATTTGTTTAAAACCCATCTGCAAAAATTGATTGTTTTGTCTTTTTTATCAGTTAGTAAGCTTTAAGATATAAAAAAGATAGAAAAATTCAAATAATCAAGTTTTTGGTTTTTTGTTTCTTTTACAAAAAAATTTTTTTTTCACAAAATTTAGTGAAAACACCTATTTATGTCCCAAACACGCTGTAATTTTTTTGATTTGAAACATTTATTTTTTCACCTTATTTTTACTTAATATCGAAAAAGCACCCTAATTTTCAATCGAAAATTCTCACGTCAAAATATCCGCTTTTTTAAAAACGTCGGTGGGCTTTTTCTTCGTTGAAATCTCTACTTTCTGATGGTGAAAAAAAATATACATTACTATGGTAAGTTTTCTCAGGAAATGCAAAGAAACGAAAGAAGATTCTACAACTTTCTCAAAATATTGTAGATGTCTTATTAAATATTAACTTTATTAACTTATTTGGTTGTTAATTATAATAGTATATTTCGACTTGTAATTTTTTTGTTTATCAATGTAACATGGAATCTTACGTTTTTCGAGTAATTAAAGTGTAAATTTTAATAAATAGCTCAAAATTGTACATAATGATTAGAAAAAAAATTTCGGATTTTATTTCGTTTCTTTGCATTTCCTGAGAAAACTTACCATAGTAATATATATATTTTTTTACACCATCAGAAAGTAGAGATTTCAACGAAGAAAAAGCCCACCGACGTTTTTAAAAAAGCAGATATTTTGACGTGAGAATTTTCGATTGAAAATTAGGGTGCTTTTTCGATATTAAGTAAAAATAAGGTGAAAAAATAAATATTTCAAATCAAAAAAATTACAGCGTGTTTGGGACATAAATAGGTAAGTTTTCACCAAATTTCGTGAAAAAAATTTTTTTTTGTAAAAGAAAAATAAAAAACCAAAAACTTGGTTATTTGATTTTTTCACATAAATTTTGAGGTTATGTGAAAAAAGTGTAAATACAAAAGTTGTAGATCTTTTTATTACCTACAACTTTGCCACTTAACTTTTTTCCATAAGACTTGTAGTTTTTCCGGAAATTAAGGGAAACCGTTTTTTACCCTTAAAAACTCGCCCTCTTCCCCTTCCCGACCTCAGATCGCCCGTAAATTATTTTTCCTTTCATTTCTGTTATATTCTCTTTCTTTTCCAATGGATTTCATCCTACTATAATTTTTTTTGGTTTCAAAAATTATCGACCCTGGTCTAGTAGGACTCGTTATTTAATTACTCACTAGACCTATGTATTTGCTATTGTTATTTTATTAATGAGTTTGATATCTTTTCCAGAAATAAAATTCATTCTACAAAAAACCGCCAGTGGCGTATTCTCTTCTTGGGAAAAGTTAGCGGAGGCTTTAATAGCACGACACTGGTTAAAACCAGGAGTCAAAGAAACGAATTAATTCACCAAGAAAATTCAATAAAATCTAAAAACAAACCCAAATATTTCCTAAACGACTGCTACTATTAAAAAACACCAATAAACATGTTTCATTCATTTAACGTAACAGTACCTGAATGTAACATTATTTCTACAAAAAACCACCAGTGGGGTATTTTTTTCTTGGGAAAATGGGGCGGCACCTCCAGTAGCACGCCACCAGTTAAAGCCACAAGGTTAATGTTACATTCAATAAAATGTCTTATTAAGTGAACATGCTGCAGTAAATTTCATTCAAATCGTTAAACGCAATATGAAGATATGGGAGAAAAAATATATAATTCTTTGTAAACTTTAACATCCTGTATCTCGAATACCGAGTCCCGACAGGAAAAAAATTATAGAGCAAACTCTACTCATTTTTTGGTAATGAATCTAGTCCTGCAGTTTATGTATTTAAAGTGAAATCACCCTGTATACGGGATAAAATTTATATTTCAGTGTCAGTAACGTCTTCCGAAACAAAGGAGATACGAAAATCTACTCGAAACTATTAAATAAAAAAAATATCTTAAATGTCGTTCCTCTTAACTGTAGTATACAGAGTAGCCCATCGAAAACGTACCGCAAGGCACTACAGGGTAGTAGAACTTTTCGGCAAAATCCAAAAACAGGTCAAATTTGTTTCTGAGGGGGACAACTTTTGGCTCAAAAAGCATACCAAAATCTTCAACCCCCTGAGGCTTTTAATTCTCTATACATCGATTCTTACTTTTTGAAAATCGATCCATTATTTTAGAAAATATGCAGCTTTGAAAATACGAACAATATTTTTGACGAGAAAAGCGAAAATCGATTTAATTTTACTTCAAAACTTACGGTATTAGTCAAGTAAATGCTGAAAATGTTGTCCGCCAACTTGCATACAATGATACAGGTTGTCTTCAAACCGTTGTCGAACATTCTGGAGCACTTGCGGTGTTACTTCGCGACATACATTAATGATTCGTCCTCGCAGATCTTCCAAGGTATCAGGTGGAGTGCTGTAAACTTTGCTTTTAATGTGCCCCAGAGAAAGAAATCTAAAGGATTTAAGTCGGGTGACCGAGGGGGCCACTCAATTGCACCCCTTCGTCCTATCCAGCGTCCTGGAAACGTCTCATTTAGGTAATTGCGCACATTGAGCGAGTAATGTGGAGGAGCTCCGTCTTGCTGGAAAATCAGTTCGTGTTCATTGTAAGCAGGGTCGTCCCTATGATATTTGTTAGAGCTGGGTCGATGATATTTTGTAGTAAATCCAAGTACATATCGCCTGTCAAATTTCCAGGAAGGAAAAAAGGACCTACAATGCAAAGTCCAAAAATACCTGCCCATACATTCAACTTCTGGGGGTGTTGGGAGTGTGTCTCATGGAAAATCCTTGGATTGGTATCAGCCCAGTAACGACAATTATGGCGATTCACTAAACCATTCAAGAAGAACGTACACTCGTCCGAAAAACACACATTAAAGAGGAAATTATCGTTTATCGCTCGTTCAGTCATTATTTCGCAAAATTGCAAACGATGATCAAAATCGTCTTCATTTAGCTCTTGCACTAGCCGAATCTTATAAGGATGGAATTTGTATTTTTTTAATATTCGTTGGACACTTGTACGACTCACTCCTGTCGCAGTAACCAATTGCATTGTACTCAGCGTACTATCCATTGCCACTTGCCCCAATACCGCTATTTCCGTAGGTTTATACTAAATGAAATCCGGTACTAGATTTTTAACCTGCCTCTTTTTGTTATGAACGGAGCCAGTTTCGCGAAATTTGGCCACCAATTCGCGAACAATTTTTTCAGACGCATGTTTCTCAGGATGCCGTTGGTTGAACAGTTCGGCGATTTCCGCATTCATTCTTTTTTATTAAAAGACTCGGCAGTATTGGTACTCTTCAACTACAAGTCACAAGACAGTTATCTAGCAACATCTTGTGGCCTATCTAAATACGAAACAAAAAGACAATTTTTTGCTCACCAAAATCAGGCTAAAGAATTCGCAAATCAGAAAAAAAACAGCGAATTCTTTCTTGGTAAATCCAAGCTAATACCGTAAGTTTTGAAGTAAAATTAAATCGATTTTCGCATTTCTCGTCAAAAATATTGTTCGTATTTTCAAAGCTGCATATTTTCTAAAATAATGGATCGATTTTCAAAAAGTAAGAATCGATGTATAGAGACCTTTCTAATGACCCCCCACTTGACCCCATTCCCATTTAAAAAAATTTGGGGGATGGCACCCCCACTTAGGGGGTTGAAGATTTTGCTATGCTTTTTGCGCCAAAAGTTGTCCCCTTCAGAAGCAAACTTTACCTGTGTTTGGATTTTGCTGACAAGTTCATCACTACCCTGTAATGCCTTGCGGTACGTTTTCGATGGGCTACCCTGTATAAGCTACGCTTGAGATACCCTTAAAAATAAAAAGAGGGTAAATACAAAGGACTCTAAGTGTTTGTTTAACTTAAAAACTTCTACCATTAATTTCTACCAAACCATAGTACGTAGTTATTTTTTAAATTGCTTAGAAACTAATTAGTTGTAATAATAAAACTCCTCTTTTATTTTCAAATTACTCAAAACTACTAAAAAATTGCATTTCATATCGATATAATTTATCTTTCAGTACCTTCCAACAGATTTTCATGACTGTCTAATTGCTTCTACGGATGCCGAATTGATATACGTGAATTCAAGACATATTTCCCAAAACTTAAACTGCTTTGTTTTTAGGAATTTAGACGATTATACACTTTTATGATATAGTAGAAGTGTCAACTGAAGACGCATTTACGCAGCTTTATTTTCAAATTGCTCAGGGGCGGTACGACTGTCATTAAATATTTTTGGTTCATACGGTTCCTACAGGATAGGACGCAAAACATAGCTAGCTACGTCATTTAAATTCCTTTTCCTAAATTTTATGCTTTGTATAGTACAGCTACTCAAATTTTTGAAAATGTCACTCTGTTCGTATGTCAAATGCATTTAGCATTAGGTGATGATGCTAAATAATTAGTTAAACATTGTGTAACGAATGCCTTACGTCTGGTATTTTCTTTTTGAAATTCATTGCATCTTTGATCATTACTCCCCGCTCGGTCTCTTTAGCTGCCTCCTGTCGCAACAGTTCGGTTGTATTGATATGCTCATAATCGAACCTCTCCTTTATAAGATTTCCATGTGTTCTCTTTCCGGTATTTTGCTGTCCAGATATCCAGACTATTGGCAAATTTTTATTTTTCAAGGGTGTCATGTCAACATCGAGTCTGTCTACGTTGATATCCTAAGTAGTTGCCAGGGTTGGAATAGAAAATAGATTTAATAAAGTAACGATATATAAGAAAGTTGGTACCTACTTTTGCTACACAAGAAAATGCAAGACCCATTTTGGTTTCCTAAAAATTTTTGTACAAGATTCACAAAAGATTAGTAAAACCAGACTTCAAAATAAAAAAACTGACAGTGACGTTTTTTGTTACACATCAAAGTAACCATAAGGTAAAAAGTGTTTTTGGAAGCATTCTTACTACATTGATAACTTATTTAAATGTTCTGACGATTTCAATAAATACATAAAGACCTTAAAATTTGAACAGTTATTAATGTGTTTCTCTATTACATACCTGTATATCTTGTATAAATTATAGTTTATTAAGTATTAGGGTCAGTAAGTGTTTTTTACTAGTTGAAGTAAGATACCTAATGATCGCAGTGCTTATGACGTTTTTAACATGCTCAAATTAATTAAAACTAAAAAAAAATATATTTTAAAAATACTTATATAAAACAAATAGGTAAGTCATACATGAAAAAGTTTTCGCTTTGGTTACTATTAGACCGAATTGTCAAGTGACATCTGCTGTCATTAGAAATTTCTCCAAGATAATATTTTTGCCACAACTTATAAGCTTCTTGTAAGTTAGGTATGATTCAAGAAAATGAAGTTTATTAAATATGAAAGTAGGAGCGATGAATTTTTTGTCGGAACCTTGCATATTAATTACGAATAAAATGTAAATTGTAACAGTGAAAAGTATATTGCAAATAAATAATTAACCTAAGTAACAACATTTTTTAATAAATTGTGGTGTTCGATGTGCTTATTGCTAAGGCCAATGCATTTTCCTTACATCAAAATTTGTATTATGATACTAAAGGATCCAAATACGAAGTAACCTCAGAAAAAATTTCATCTGGACCTCTTTCTGCGTTTATCTGCAACAAAATACACAAGTTTGAGTGGTGCATTTTCCAAATAAACTAATCCAAATATTTGCTCAAGAAGAGAATTTTGATTTAAGCATAAATAAGACACGAAACATAAGTGACTTATGGTTGGTACCAAACAGGAAAAATTTTAACTTATGATGTTAGAAAAAACAATTCTTTAAATAATTTTTGTTCGTCTGAATATCAAATAAACACAATAATTGGTTTTATAAACGCGCAATATATACTGGGCGATTTTTTATTTTCTTTTTAATCGAATTATTAACATAGGCAGTCGCGTTGGAAAAATAAGGAGGAACTAAAATTAAAAATAAAAGCTATTCAGTGAAAATAAAAAAAAATAAAATTAGTAATTTTCAACTTTCTGATTTTTTTTATAATTTAGAATATATATAATACAGAAATTTTAAATCCGTAAGTATAAATTAACCGGACTTAAATATTTGGTATTCCGGCAAGTAAACGTTTTTATTTCTAAAATCATAAAGAAAAATCTTATATTTTATATGTATAGGAAAATATGGAATTTAGTTTATTCTTACTTTTCTTAATTTTTCAGGATACTGCTGTATGACATGTTCATTGTGAGTATTGAATGTATGCAGTCTTTTCTTAATGGTTTCTTCATTGTCGTCCACTCTTCCGGAAGTTTTGGCCCTTTCTAGCAACCTTTCTACCAGAGTGTCATCTGAGGCGTCAAAAAACAAGACTAAATTTACTGGAGCAATGGTCTGTTCGAATAGAATTCCTTGTTCCTTTTCTCTAGGATAACCGTCGATAAGAAAGCCTTTCGAAGTTGGTAGAGCCTTTAACATAGCTTCTCTAAGGAGATCCAGAACGACCTCCAGTGGTACCAGTTCTCCCCTTTCCATTATTGCATTCAGTTCTTGGCCTCTAGTGGAACCACTAGATACCTAAAATAATGTAAAAGTACAAATCTAATTCAAGAAATTTCCAGTGATTAGAGATTTATGTTTATATAGATTAAAGTAAATTAGGAAGTGGGAGACGGTCAGTGAAAAATGTTTTGCTATATACATATTTGTAAGATTCGATCGAATTATCTGTAAGGAAGATCAACCTCAATTATTTGATCGTCGTATTTCTTGTAAGATATATGTATATTGGTATCCTTTTTCAGAATGATTCAGCACAGTGTCAAGCAAACGAAATGCCAGCCAGTTCATTTTGTGACTGAATCATTCGCACTGTGTGTAAAAAAGTGAGGGGAAAACATTTGCATTGTCACATCTTTATTAGACACTGTACAATGTAGTGCATATAAATTTTCTATTTCAGGATCTTTACAGTCCACGTGAAAACCAAAGAAATTCTTTCTGACAAAATAACTAATTTTCGAGATACTTATTAAAGAGCACAAGTTTTAACTTATTTAAATATTTTGGGTCATAATAGGTACCTTGATAGTTTTTTATGTGAAGTTACCCTGGTGAAAATGATAAATGAAACATATTTAATCCAATTTCTTCTTTGACCGAAATTTACTTCTGATTTGCTGCTGAAACAGCTTTTTTGAAGTTACATAAAAAATATGGATGTGACCATGAAAATTTTAACAATTGAAGGTACGACATTATTTTGCAATATTGTTATAAATGCTAACGAAAATTTTTAAGATTACGTTCACTTCAGTAAATACCTTTTTCTCTATTTAAAAGTTTTTGGCTTCTAATAATTTTTTTTTTTTGTAAAACCCTAGGTATATGAAAAAATCGAGTTATGTTTGAAGAACGTGTAGGCTTTTTTAGTCCATTTATTTTATTCATTGCACTTTGAAATATAATTTATATATGTATGTCACAAAAATTAAAAATATTAAAAAGTAAATAATTTCCAGTCAAACAAGATTAATAAAATAAATTTTATAACTAAACAGCGAAACTTAATATAAGAAAAGTATGTATAATGAAAATTATTTATGAAAATTTTATAATAATTTTCAAATATACCTTTAGGAAACCAATGATATTTCGGAGACTATTAATATCAAAAAAATTACTCAGAGTTTAATATTTTTTCATATCTTTAGTTTCAGCTAAGTTTTAGTCATCAAAAAATTGATTGCAGTATCATCAATATTACTCATAATTAGCTATTTAAATGAACTGCATTTTGATCAGTGGTGATGATTTTTAATCTGGTGTAAAACAAAGTTAACAATTATCTCGTGCCATAACACCTTTAAAAACAACTAATATATCTGGTCTTGCTTTAATTCATTTCTAATAAAGATTATATTAGATAATGCTTATCTAAAATAAATTGGCTGCTATGCGTTATATGTACAGATATATTAATACTCGTGTATCATGAATCTTTGAATGATTAGAATGAAGAATGAAGAAAAAGTTAGTGATAGTGATCAGTTTTAGCTATTTTGAAAAGTAAAAAATAAATGCAATCAATACCTCTGCTCGCAGAAGATCTCCTGACGACAAGTGGGTAAACCCATATTTGGCTACGATTCGGTCACATTGAGTTCCTTTACCTGACCCAGGACCGCCCAATACCCAGATGATGGGGACATTTATTTCAGGAATGGGAGCCTGGAAAAGCAGTAACAGTTAAAATGTCAATTAAATATAAAATCTTAGTGAGTCGATGCGGGGGGGCTCTAGGGCGGTGCCCCCCTAGAAATTTTCATAGTAAAAAAATATAATTCAAAATTTAGTTTACAATGTTGTCTGGATAATTAAATAGATTAGCCTTATGTAACAGATTAAAAAGGAAATGTTTTTGTCAATTTAACTCGACATACAAAATTCGTTTGAAAAACTGAATACGTAGGCTCTGTGTAGCTCGCTCCAACATTTGGAAAGTGTTTACAGCGGTGGTCATGGTTACTGTCGCGCAGCAGTGAGAGACGGAGTGGGAGTAGCGCATATTTACTATGCAATTTGTAATGTAATTGTAATCTGTTTAGCCTGACCGTAACCAAATGATAGATATTCATGGCTCTTTTTCTTATTAAAAACAAAAAGAAGTCGACAGACCATTCACAATGCGGGACGGGACGTTCACTGAATGAAGGTTAGAAATGCAAGGTTGAAGTCGATATTTTTAAGAAAATCAGTTTTAGCGATGAGGCCCATTTCCACTTATGAACGACATTGTCACATCTGGGACTCTGAAAACCCAAGAGTGATTGTCAGATAACCTCTTCATCGATAATGAGACTTTTTGGTGCGGTTTTTAGAGTCGCGGCGTCATAGGGCCATATTTCTTCGAAAACAAAGCCGGTTTTACTGCTACGGTCGATTGCGATACCGAAATAGGTTGACTGACTTTTTGGACCTACGATTGAAGAACTGAATGTAGTAGACGTTTATTTTCAACAGAATGGGGCTATGTACACAAAACGTGAAACGATAGCCTTATTTTGTTAAAGGAGGGAACGCATTAGCCGGTCGCGGTCCCGTCGCATCGCGGACCATGCTAGCCTCGATCGCGTGCGGTGGTGTTCCTTCCCATGTTTTATAATGTATGCATTTGCACTATAGTAGGATCATATTCGATGCAAAGTAATAAATCATTGCCTGTCAAGGGATCCAGTGCCATACGCTTTTAAGGGTAATTGAATAAGTTCTTTATACATTGTGAAGGGACGAAGGGATCAGTTCACGTCTGGCATCCTTGTTCCTACAAAAATTCCTTTATTCTCATAAACTATTTATTTTAAATGTAATTTATTATAAATCCAAATTGTTTTTTAATTTCCACATATGTATTACATTTTACCTCTGTACGCGTCACTGTTGTTTACTTGTTTTTTTTTTGGAGGCGCTCTCTGTTTTACGATCAAGCTTCGCCAGGTTAGTATTTAACGTATAACCGACCACTTCGTACACTCGATGTACCTGGGCGACTACAGCTACTACCAGAACACAGTGCGTATGCAGCGGTATTTCAGATTAAACATTGAATTTCATTTTAAATTTGAAATGGTTCATCTTACGCCTCCTAAAAATGATGACACGATTTTCGTTTGATAAAAAACCGCCAACTTTTTGCTCTACTTTGCATCGAATACGATCCTACTATAGACATTCCCGAGCTCGTCTCGCTCGCATCTCCACCGATTTTTTCCAAAGAATTTCGGGAGAGCCAATAAAAATACTTCTTCCATAGAACTCATTTTCTTAACTATTAAAACAATGAAGCAACTATTTAAAGGAGAGCGCGAGATGTGTGCGGTTGCCAAATGCGACTGATTTTGAAAAAGACCACGATCAGCTCAGTCCAGAACGGTCCGCGAGGCGACGGGACCGCGACCGCCTAATACGTGCTCTCCTTAACAGTTCGCTGGAAATGTCATTTCGCGTCACGGAAATTTTAATCTAGATCATGTGACTTATCATCACTGAATTTCTTTCTGTGGAGTTATATGAAGGATAAAGTGTACACTACTGCTCGAGGAAACGATTGAAGCACTCAGACACATTTTCTCAACTGTACTTGGCGAAAAAGGTCCCCGATTATGCGAAAAAAGTTATGGAAAATTTCCTAAAAAGAATTAGAATTCGCAACAAAAGAGACGGCCATTTGGTAGATATCCATTCCATCTTTAACCGTATGGACTGTACTATGTTGTGCAAAAATCGAATAATATATTATAATATACAGGGTGTTAAAAAAGAGTGTAAAATATTTAAGGAGGTAAAAGTATGAACCAAAATAAGTAGAAAAGTCTCAATAAACATGGGTCTGCAAAGTAACGGTTGCGGAGATATGGAATGTTTTATGTTTTTTAGCCCCTTTTTTTATTTTGCAAAAACGTTGTGTATTTTCTTATAATAGTTGGTTGATGTTTAGTGAAATAAACAGTACGTATTTGACAGTTGTTCTCAGTGCACAAGTTTTCTTTCGCTATGGCTGGTTACTCTAACGCAGAATTAACAGACATGCATTTCATGTATGGTCGTGCTAATGGGAACGCCACCGAAGCGCGACGTCTTTATGTTGACGCTTATCCAAATCGCCAGATTCCTTCACAACGCATGTTTGGAAGAATTCACCAAAGATTGCGTGATACCGGTTCCTTGAGCAAACAGTGCCATTTATCCGGAAGACCAAGGTCGGTATCCACTCCTAGAGCAGAAGAAGAAATTCTAGCACTGGTAGAGCAGAATCCAGGTACGAGTGTGCGGAGAATATCAGCCGAGGTAGGAATTAGTGGTCCTCTTGTTTGGAGAATCCTTCACGAGCAACTGCTTTATCCATACCATGTGCAACGAGTACAGGCCTTAAATCCAATAAATGATCATCAAGCACGTTTGGTTTTTTGCCGCTGGTTTCTACGTCATGATGCTGAAGACCCTCGTTTTCTTGCAAACATTCTTTTTACTGATGAGGCCGGGTTCACAAGAAATGGAGTGTTTAATTTTCACAATACGCATATTTGGGCCGACGAAAATCCTCATGCTCTAATAGAATCTGGACATCAGGCACGTTTTTCATTAAACATTTGGATGGGTATTGTAGGTGACAGGTTTCTAGGTCCTGTTGTTTTACCAAACCGATTAACAGGCGCTGCTTACCTCAACTTTCTGCAGAACACACTGTATGAGTTTTTGGAAGACATTCCTTTGAATCAGAGGCAACAAATGTGGTTCCAGCATGATGGTGCTCCAGCTCATTTTTCCATGGCCGTTAGAGAGCATTTACACCAAACTTTTCCACATAGATGGGTAGGAAGGGCCGGACCTGTTTTATGGCCTCCAAGATCGCCTGATCTGAACCCTCTAGATTTCTTTGTTTGGGGATATTTGAAGACATTAGTGTATGGTACTCCTGTAAATAGCCTGGAAGAGCTGCAGCTACGGATTAATCAAAAGTGTCAAGAAATCCAAACCAAGGAGGGTGTTTTCGAAAGAGTTCGAATATCGTTGAGACGAAGATGTCGTGCCTGCTTGGAAATGGACGGAGGGCACTTTGAACATCTTCTGTAACTTTGTTTTTTGTTTGTTAAAAGCTTCCTTTGTCGGTTTATTCCTAATAAAATAAAATGTTTGAAAAACGAATAGTGGTCCATATATCCGCAACCGTTACTTTGCGGACCCATGTTTATTAAGACTTTTCTGCTTATTTTGGTTCATACTATTACCTCCTGAAATATTTTACACTCTTTTTTTTAACACCCTGTACAAGGTGCTCCATTAAAAGATATAAGTTTGGATTGTATTTTCGGAACCATCTATAATGTATGTAAAATGTTACGTGCATAGTCCCTGTATAAGTACGAATAAATAAAGTACTTGAAATTAATTAAGAACATTTATGTAAATCGATATTAATTAATTATTTTGTACAAATACGAGATCTGTTCAGAAAAGAATTGAACTTTATTTTTAACCTTTATTATTAATTTTATACATTATTGGTTCTTGTCTCCTTCACAGTGTTCCCCTCCCCTATTCATACGTTTTTCCCATGGGTGTTTCCATTTCGCAAAGCAGTCCTGGATAGCTTCATTTGAAAGTATTTTAAAGTATATGACGAATTTGCTTTCTTTGATGTCACCAATAGTCTGAAAACGGCGTCCTTTCAGCATTGATTTTAATTTCGGAAACAAGAAAAAATCTCAAGGAGACAAGTTCGGCGAGTTAGGAGGGTGAGGATGGAAAATAGTCTGATTTTTGGCACAAAATTGACGAATTGACAAAGCTGAATTGTTGAGTTTTCTCGCCACAACTCTGGTGTCTTTTTGCGGATTTTTTAACGTAACGTATATAAAACGCCCTGATAGTACACACGGTTCACTTTTTCACTTTGAGGCAAAAATTGAAATTGAACAATTTCATGAAAGTCGAAAAAAAAACAGTAAGCATGAGTTTGAGATCGGATTGGGGGGGATTGGCTTTCTTGGAGAGAGGGGGGGTGTAGTCGGAATGATGTAGTCGTAACCCCAGTTTCCATTTCCCGTTATAATCCTTTGAATTAATGTTTCATCGTCATTGGATTGTGCAAACAGTTGCCCACAAACGTCCACACGATTTTTTTTCTATTGTGCGGTCAGACGAGGAACAAATTTTGCTGCAACTCGATGCATGTTCAATTTTTAAGTCAAAATTTCATGGAGTGATCCAATTGAGACGCTAACCTCTTCTGCAATTTCTGTGATAGTCAATCGACAATTTGCATGCACCAGATCATTGTCTTTCTGAAAGGGGAGGGAGTGATCGGTTGAAGTCAAAGGCCCTCCTGGTTGAGGATCATCTTCAATTGATTGACCACCACTTTAAATCATGAAAACCATTCGTAACATTCCGTACGACATAAAGCTCTCCGTAAGCTTGTTCCAAAAGTTTAAACGTTTCCGTGAAAGTTTTCCCCAGTTTCATGCAAAATTTTACGTTGCGTCGTTGTTTCAGAAAATCGCACATTTCAAAAATCGCCACTAACACTTAAACACACTGCATTCATATAATATCACGAAATCTAAATGAGATATCAACAATCCAAGAATATGTTGTTACAGAGGAGGTTATGTGCAACTGCACATCACTAAATATCTCCATTAGCGCGCAATTAAAGATGTTCGGTTATT